AGCGTTGATAAGTATTTATTTTTTTTTTTGCTCGGTCAAGGCAATCTCGGTTTCGAACACCTTACTTTACTGGGTATGTAGGTTTGCCTTTAGCCCTTTTTTATGTTTATTTTTTCAGTATTGTCGTATTTGTTCGAGTCTTTACCTAGATAAAAGTTTTATGTTCTGGCAAATTGTCCATTTGTCCCACCAACGATTTTTGTGTGTGTTTGTGTGTGTGTTTGTGTGTGTGTTTTGAGGAGAAAGAGATAAAGAAGGTACATCTTATCAAAAAGAAAAGCCATATATTTTATCATTTTTATATTTTATTAACTTTTCTTTCTTTTCATGATGAAAATTCGCTTAAAGAATGGATTACATTGAAAACAGTTCTAGCAACTATTGGGCCTCAAACTCAGCCCAAACTTCAAGTTTGGGCTGAGTCAAGTTTGGGCTGAGTTCGCTAAAGTTGCTGTACAAAATGGTCCATTCTCTTTACCGATCCAGCAAGCACATAACTTCTCCTGCCATCCTCTATCTTTACAAGAGCCAGATCAGGCCTAAAATGGAGTACTACTCTCATGTTCGGCAGGAGCTTCCCATTCACCATTTTCTAGTCTCGATAGAGTCCAAAAGCGTATCTGCATCCTTGTTGGTGATAAATTAATTCCCCCCTGTAAAACCCTCTTTCACAGATGAAATGTAGCAAACCTCTCACTGCTATCTCGCTACCTCCTTAGAAAGTGTTCAGAAGCACTACATTCATTAGTTCCACGAATTTTAATATTTACGGCTGAAACCCGCCATGCTACGCACATCGTAGCAAACCAGCCTCATTCCGTCCGTATTTCAGTGGTTAGAAGTAATTTCCCCTCAAGCAGTTTCTTCCGGAGAACCACTGCTCTGTGGAACTGACTCCCATACGGATGCTTTCCCGATCACTACAATCCTAACCTCTTAAGAGTTTACCGTTATCTTTCTAAAATATCCGCATAAACTGTACACTTTACTCTGTAACTGTTGAAACTTGACTAATGCATGGAATAATAATACAACACAAAATGTACTTAGAACAAAATATATTGAAACAAGAAAGTGTACACAATATTTACATATAGTCTTTTGTATATTTCTGGTAAGACCGTTCCTGGAGAATGTGTTGACTTAGTCGCAGTCGGGCAGAGTCTCTGGATTGAATCTCTTGATTCCTCCCCCGTCTTCCCGGTACCAACCATATTTATATGGTCGGTACTCCACTATGCAAATTAGGTGGATCCTACCACAACAGTAACCCTCTACATTGAGTAACTCCCGTGCCTTGTACAGGGTTAACCTTAATGTAAAAATACTGTGTAGCCAGGTTAAAGAGGTGTGGATACAGTTTCAAGGTACAATTAGTTGTTTGTAGTTGTTTTCGTATTCTACTAATTCAAAATTGTACAACACTGAAGTAATGAATTTCAGCTGGAGTCATTTTATTTCATTAAAAAAGCGACACGGGAGCTTTATTTACTTTCCCCCATCTCCTTCTATCAACCTCTCTTAAAGATATCCCAAAATTAAATAAAATAAAATCGTTTTTACTGATTCATCACTTTTCTCCATCTCACGTTCTTTAAAATCGTTGCCTGAAGACATCAGCTACACTTCTGGTTTTCCCCAACTGTTATTTTCTCATTGCTTCCATTTCAGACCTTTCAAATTTTATCCAACAGTTATCAAATTATCTTGCTCTTTATAATCAGTAATTGTGCCCAATCTTATCCCGTCCTTTCTTTTTCGTTTTATTTTTTTTTTTTATGCTTGCCATTCCCTTTTTTTTTTTACAGCCGCTAGCAAGCTTCCTGTCTTCACTTGATGCACCAAATATCTTTTTCCTTTTCCGCAGAAGAACACATCCTCGGCGCAGAAGGCTTGATGCCATGTTCTAATAAACTACAGCTGAGTCTATTCGTTAAAGGCGAATTATCTTATTGCCTCCATAGATTCTTTGTTTTTTTTTTTTTGCTTGATTGACTTTTTCTTTTGATATTTTCTCCATCTTCCTTTACATTGTTTTTCGGATTTCATTTCTCATTCTTAAATTACTCGAACACATCCTATGTCGCTAGTTTTCACTTTCATTTCAATGACATTTCAGGTCACCGACGCCATTTTTCGCTTTCGTTTCAATGATGTTTCACTGACATTCACGTTTGTCTGATACAGTTTTTATTTGCATTTAACATTCACATGTCAGTTCACTGACATTCACATGTCAGTTCACTGACATTTTACTGACATTCACATTTCATTTCATCGAGATCAGTTTAGATTTTCATTTCCATGACATTGACATACGAATTTCCCTAACACAATTTTCACTTTCAGTCACATTTCATTGACATTCACATTTTATTTCACTGACATTCACATTTCACGAACATTTCATGAACATTTTTCACTGACATTCACATTTCATTTCACTGACATTCACATTTCATTTCACGAACATTTCACTGACATTCACATTTCATTTCACGAACATTTCATTGACATTCACATTTTATTTCACTGACATTCACATTTCATTTCACGAACATTTCACTGACATTCACATTTTATTTCACTGACATTCACATTTCATTTCACGAACATTTCACTGACATTCACATTTCATTTCACTGACATTCACATTTCATTTCACGAACATTTCACTGACATTCACATTTTATTTCACTGACATTCACATTTTCATTTCACGAACATTTCATTGACACATTCACATTTCAAACATTTCATTTTCACATTTTATTTCACTGACATTCATTTCATTTCACGAACATTTTCACATTTTATTTCACTGACATTCATTTTATTTCACTGACATTCACATTTCATTTCACGAACATTTCACTGACATTCACATTTTTTATTTCACATTTGACATTCACATTTCATTTCACGAACATTTCACTGACATTCACATTTCATTTCACTGACATTCACATTTCATTTCACGAACATTTCACTGACATTCACATTTTATTTCACTTAAAGCTGTTTCCACTCTTATTCTAAAGACATCTCACTGACATTAGCATTCACATTTCCCTGGCATTCACATTTCATTGACATTCACATTTCACTGACATTTACACTTCATTTCATTGACATGTAGTTTTAAACTTCATTTCTCTTCCTTTAATTTATCTGAACAAATTTCATTGCATTTTGAGTGTTGGCCGATTCTGCATTTTAATGAATTTATCCTTTATTATGATATTCCGCTGACGATTTGTTTTTAAGCGTGGAATTAGAATAAAATTCGAGGAATTCTCCAAGGAAGAATTGTGTAGATAAAAGATTGCTAAACTGCTATGTAATATCAGCCCTTCTGCATGGCAGTGAATGCTGGGCAATCTCACAGATTAAGAAAGAAATTTGGTCAACAGAGACGTGGCCCTACAGAAGGATACTAGGAATACTATAAACGGTGAATGTAAGCAACAAACATATTTTAGGGAAAATGGAAACAAAAATGGGACACTTATACTCAGAATTAGAAAGAGACAGTTACAATTTTTCTGGATACATGATGAGGAAAAGGGCTAGGCGAATTTGACAAAGTAAGCCTGTGTAATTAAATGACAGAATAAAGACTGGAATTGATGGCGAAAAGACAACGCTTCCTCAGAGCTACAAAGGAGAGGAATTTGTGGAGAGTCATGATCGCCCACGACCTGAAGAAGCACGGCACATAAAAGAAATTACAATTAGCAGAAAATTTTCAAAAATTAAATCGAGAAAAAAATCAGTGTTTTTACATTTAATTTTCAAACAATGAGAAAAGTAAAATATGATCAACGCATAATGGGACTATCTATCTATCTATCTATCTATCTATCTATCTATCTATCTACCCCAAGAAAGGCAATAATACCACTAAAACGCAAAGGACTACTGGGAATGGTAGAGAATGAGAAGATTTAAGAAGGAATAGGAAACCCAACCCTAAAAAAGAGAGAAACGATTACTCCAGTTCAAAGGACCGAAGAGGAGTTTAAACCAGACGATAGGCGGACCTATCTACTCCGATTGAGTTTAAGCGGAAACGTTAGAAGCATAGAGCTGAAATAGACTTTAGAAGGAACCAGACACTCAATCTTAAACAGGAAACAAAGAAACAACCTCCACTCCAGTTCAAAAGACCCGGGTGGAGCGTAGACTGGACGATAGGCGAAACTATCTACTCCTATTGAAGAAAAAATAAAATAGAAATAAATATTAAAGAAAATTTCAGAGCTCAACGGAGATGTTAGAAGTATAAAGTTGAATTAGACTTTAGAAGTAACCGGACGATAGGCAAAGCTATCTACTATGTATGTATGTGTGCGTGTTTAAAAATGAACAAAAATAAAACGCAAGTAATGTTCGATTGTCACATTCCGAACAAAAAGATAATAAAGATAGAAAATGAAGGATTGGGAATAATCCAGGAGTACTCATAGGATAGGTGATAACATTAAAGAAACACCATGGAAATTAAATAAAACAGCAGATAACGACTGAATAGAAAGCATTTAGCAGAAATAGGGATATCCGGAAATGCGCTATGACAATATAAAAGCGTAAATTGTCTGATAAATAGATAATACCGACTTTATTGCACTTGGAAATGGCAGGTGCTGCAACCTTGGATGTGCGGGTGGTGTGATAGATAACGGATCGGAATGGGAAATCGGAGGGCCGAGTTCGAATTACAGTCGGTTTCGATAATTCACTTACGCATAAATCCCCTCGTGAAAAAGAATGAATCTATCTTTCCCCCTAGCTATAGGTTAAATATCAGGTGAGACTGGGTCATATAGCTTTGGTTGGCAACTAGTCTAACGCAGAAAATAACAGCAATCTACTCCAGGAATTTTTCTTCCGAGTTAGTCATGAATCGGAAAGAGACATGATCGCCCAAGTGTGCATTACACATGGCACCAAAGGAAGGAAATGAAGGAAGGAAAAAAGGAAGAAAGGAAGGAAGGAAATTAAGGAAATGAAGGAAGGTATGAAGGAAATGAAGGAAGGAAGGAAATGAAGGAAGAAAGGAAGGAAGGAAACGAAGGAAGGAAAGAAGGAAGGAAAGAAGGAAGGAAGGAAATGAAGGAAGGAAGGAAATGAAGGCAGGAAGGAAGGAAGGAAGGAAATGAAGGAAGGAAGGAAATGAAGGAAGGAAAGAAATGAAGGAAATGAAGGAAGGAAAGAAGGAAATGAAGGAAGGAAAGAAGGAAGGAAGGAAGGAAGGAAATGAAGGAAGGAAATGAAGGAAATGAATGAATGAAGGAAGGAAGGAAATGAAGGAAGGAAAGAAGGAAGGAAGGAAGGAAATTAAGGAAATGAAGGAAGGAAAGAAATGAAGGAAGGAAATGAAGGAAGGAAGGAAATAAAGGAAGGAAGAAGTAAAGGAAGGAAGGAAATGAAAGAAGGAAGGAAAGGAAGGAAGCAAGGGAGGAAGGAAGGAAGGAAGGAAAGAAGAAAGAAAGGAAGGAAGGAAGAAAGTTCTTTTCAGAAAGGTACATATAAATAGGTTTTATTTTCTAGATTTAACTTCTGGAACTTTTCTGCTTGTCATACAGATCAGAGGACATGCCAACATATAGAATTACCCCACCCCAACCCTCAAAATGATGGTGGGCACATATAAAAAAGAAACAATAACAGGTGGAGCCAAAGTTTGCTTGATTATACATAATAAATTTGGTATGTTCCCAGGTCAGCTCCATTTTAATCACTTCTATGGAATCTTGCTGCTTAGTTGGTATTAAATACAGTAGAGAAAGACTAGATTAAGATGCAAGTATGCATGTTTGTATATTGTATATTGTATATATATATATATATATATATATGTGTGTGTGTGTGTGTGTGTGTGTGTGTGTGCAATCGTGCCCTCTCATATGACATGAAAAGTCTATGTAATCAACGAGTATCACATTATGCTAATGTTTTTTTTGCTTTCCGGCAATTTTCGTCCCTGCATTGAATATTGCTGCAACATTTGGTCTGCTGTTCCAGCTTAGAGATTCTTGACAAAATTTAAAGTAGAGTCTGCAATGTTATCGGTCCTGACCTATCATCTCAGCTTCAGTCACTTTCTCACCACCGTAACGTAGCTTCCCTGTGAATTTTCTATAAATATTTCCATTTCAGTTATTCTGATGAGCTTACCACTTTGGTACATCGACTTCATGAATTCATGAAGTACTAGCTCAGTAGATAGATCTCGTTTTTTTTTTTTTTACCTTTGAAATACCTAAATGTAACCGTAAGATTTATTTTAATAGCTTCTTCACTCACGCTTCTTACATATGGAAATCTCTTGCTTTCCTGTAAACTACGACTTTCAAAAATTTTAATGCTACGACTCTCAACCATCTGTCATTTTCAATCGTGTTCTTTTATTGTCCTTTCTCTTCAATAAAGTTTTCTCATTTTATCTCACTTTCACTAACTCTCTGATTCTTAGAGGCTTTATCACACTTCTTGGCGTAAAATGATTAATAAAACAAAGTTATATTGAATGATATCTACTTCTGATGACATTGGAGAGTATTGCTTTTGATTGCAATGTTCCTTTTAACTACAGGCTTACGGCCATATCACGTTGAAGCACCGGTCCTCTGCGTGATTACCGAAGTTAATCAACGTTGATCCTGATCAGTACCTAGAAGGGTGACCTCTTGGGATTATAAGGTACTGTATGCTTAGAGGTGCGGGTGGTGTAATGTATAATTAAGGTGGTGACTAAGATTGTTACGTATTTCAAATCCAATTCAGGGGTGTGTAACATAACAACTAAGGCAAAAGTTTTATTTGACTCATTCTGCAAAATGAAAAACGTTTATTCCATTGTGTTTATTTTATAAGCGAGTGGGGAGATGGGATATGCTTCTTTTGTTACTACAGGCTGGACGAAATAATGATTTCGATTACTGATTTTCAAAACCGGATGACTATCACTACTTAGAAAATTGACGCAACACAATCTTTTTACTTCTATTTATACTTGCGTTCCAGCAAACTGAATTTAAGTCATATCTATAGAAAATGAATTTTTCGCCCTCAAAGAACGCGATGCATTTCTTTCTTTCTTTCTTTCTTTCTTTCTTTCTTTCTTTAAGTTCAGACGCCCAATCCTGTAAAAAGGGTTTTTTTTTCATCCCCATTTATTCATTTATAATTTTTTTTTTCGTTTCTCCCCTTTCACTACTCTTCTTTTCAATTTTCCCCTTCCCTTTTTTTCAACCAATTTTGTTAAAGCAAAAATCCATTAAAATAGCGACTTGGGCAAAAGCCGTCTGATTGGTTGCTTCTACTTTACGATGCCGACCGATCGTCTAATTGGATTGCACCTAACGAAATCGAATCATCTGTCGAATGTAAATCTTGAATGACGTATAAGTGCACCCAGGCCAAATCTCGTTCTTTTCTCGTATACTCTCGCGTCTTCCCGTTCTTTTATTTCTTTTTTTTTTTAATACTCTTCAGTTCATCTAAAATATTTTCCCGTGAATTTCCAGCCAGAAACTGTCTTTTCGCATGATCTCATAGTTTTTCATATATTCTTATTTTATTAGATTTTGAACTTCATCTTATCTTATTAAGTTTTTTTTCCTGGGTTACATATTCGAATTGTACCTAGGACAAATCACGGTCTCTTTGGAGATTCTCATATAATCTTTGTACCTAGTTTGGGCCCTTGGGGGTGGTGTCATAGTTATCAAGCTTTCTCATCAGATCAATTACGACTGAGCAGTGTGTTCGATCATTACTTGCGGCTATGTGTGGCATCTAAGCTACGATTAGTAAATCTCTGTCATTTTTCTGCGTATTTCTGTTTCTTTTATATAATTTCCTAAGTAATTTTGTATATTTTAAATATACGATTCATTCTAATTTGAATATAAATCCATATTGTTCGTCAATTCTTCCGTTTAGTCTCATTGTTCGATCCTGTTGAGTGTATGAACAGTGCTAAAAAGTTCTCGGCGAGATCAAAAAGCTTCACACCATCCCTCACACACACACAAAAAAAAAATCTGAATATTTGGTTAGAGTTTTGGAAGGAGGTCGGGCTGAGAGATTTTCAACACTTCATCGTATCTCACTCTGACTTATACCTATATAGAAGTGAATGCTGAATAATCTCCTCACAGATGAACAGGAGACTTGAGGCAATAGAAATGTGGTTCCACAGAAAGATGCTGTGAAAGTATGGATGGGGTATGAAAGCAACGAGGAATTTTGAGGAAAAATGTAAACAAAAAGGACTCTTAGAAACAGAAAGACACGGTTGAAATTTCTGGGATACATAATGAGGAAAGGAGGCTTGAAGAATTTGACACTCACAGGAGAAATTAAAGTCAATATGGACGGACGAAAACAGAGAGTAACATACTTTATAAGTCGGTATAAATAAATAGCAAGACAGGAAAGGGGGATAATACAATGACAAACATTGCTAAGAGATACAAAAAATAGGATGTTGGGGAGAGTCCTGACCACCATGTCCTGTAGGGACATGGCTGATAGAAGAAAAATAAACAATTTACCATGGCTAAATAACATATTCGCAAACGCTTTATAGAAAAATAATCTCTCATTTGGGATTGAATGCTTTCTTGGAATGCTATTTTTGCGGGTCATAAAATTTGGTATCAGATTTGAACTTAATATAAATACGATCTAAATAAGGAAAGAGGTAAAGTGTTTGTCATGATAGAAAATATTGCTTAATAAGGAATAGATAAAAAAAAGTCTGTCTTGAAACAAAATATTGCTAAGTAAGTAAATAGGTAAAATGTTTGTCATGATACAAAATAGTGCTAAAATAAAGAAACGGGTAAAAATGTTTGTCATAATACAAAATATTGTTAAATAAGGAAACAGGTAAATATTTTGTCATGATACAAAATAATGCTTAACAAGGAAACAAGTAAAATGTTTGTCGTGAAACAAAATATTGCTAAGTAAGGAAACAGGAAACATGTTTTTCATGAAACAAAATAGTGCTAAATAAGGAAACAGATGAATTGTTTGTCATGAAACAAAATATTGCTAAGTAAGGAAACAGGAAAAATGTTTATCATAAACCTGTTTTAATCTGGAGTTAATGCAAAACTGCTGTAGCTTAGCCACATTTTATTGCAGGTTTTTCTCATTCTATTTTTGTTTGTTTGTGGGGGGGGATTTTCTTGCAGTCAGCAAGGAATGGCATCTTTCCCCCGAGACATGTTTATATCTTTCAGAAACGTTAAAAAAAGTTTAGGGAAAAATTAGAAGCTACGACTGCATTAGTTCTAATTCAATTAAAGGCGTCAAGCTGTGTCAGTTTGTTCTTTTGTAAGTAAATCAATCCAGAACAGTTCTTTTTCGTGCGTTTATCTTAAAATAAGACAAATTTCCATTAGTAACAGATACAGAAAAGGATACAAATATCTATATTCATTTTCGTTTTGAACAAATAAACTGATCAATCAGCGAGCAACAAAATGAAATATTAAAAATGAACAACGAACAAATCTAACATAAAACATGAAAACGAGAAAAAGCCACAAACTAACGAAGAAGAATGGTAAGCCTTATTCTCACTTCTTCTTTTTATCCGCGAAAGAGTTCTTTTTCATTTTTTCTCTTTTACTCTGGTTTTGAGAATAGAACAGTTTTATGAAATGAAAACGATATTCTTTTCCTTTTCGATCTTTCAAATAAAACAAATGATTTGTTGTTTGTTTTTAATGGTTGTGTTTTGAAAATAAAATGAAAAAATAATTCATTCTTTTCAGTTGTAACTACGACTTTCAAAAATTTTAATGCTATGACTCTCAACCATCTGTCATTTTCAATCGTGTTCTTTTATTGTCCTTTCTCTTCACTAAAGTTTTCTCATTTTATCTCACTTTCACTAATTCTCTGATTCTTAGAGGCTTTATCACAATTCTTGGCGTAAAATGATTAATAAAACAAAGTCATATTGAATTATATCTACTTCTGATGACATTGGAGAGTATTGCTTTTGATTGCAATGTTCCTTTTAACTACAGGCTTACGGCCATATCACGTTGAAGCACCGGTCCTCTGCGCGATTACCGAAGTTAATCAACGTTGATCCTGATCAGTACCTAGAGAGGTGATCTCTTCGGATTATCACCAAAAATATTCTAAAAATAATTTCTGGCTTTAAATAACTATTTTTATGAACTGAATTGTTAATATTTATGAGTCTATTTCATGGTTATGATATTTATGATATTTATATATATATATTATATATATATATATATATATATATATATATATATATATATATATATATATATATATATATATATATATATATATATATATATATATATATTTTTATATATATATATATATATATATATATTTTATATATATATATGTGTGTGTGAGTGAGTGTAAATATATATACATGTATATCTACATATACATTTTTGTATATATATATATTTGTATATATATTTGTATATATATATATACATATAATTTTCTATGTATA